AACATAACATAACCCTAAATTATTGAGTTTGTTTTGTTATCCATTAGGGATTTGACGTTAACCCTTCTTCTTCTCGTTTTTCTTTTCATGTTTGCTTACTAAAAGCTGGCTTGGTTAAACTACCATATAACCACACTATTTAACCATAGACATTTAACTTTTCTTTTGAAGTATCGTATTGTTTACAACTAAATGCAAAAATTCAAACAGATTACTAGCATTGATAATAATATATCTCATCGTGAGATGTCATTATCAATGGCTCCTTGTAACAACAATATATCAGGCCTATATACTTACATAATCAATGCATCAAATCAAGTCTGCTACAACCACTGAGCTACAACGCTACCTAAGCAAACTACAAAGATAGGAAGAAGAAAAAACTATTCATTTCTTTTACTTACACTTACACAACAAAACAAAAGTGAACTGTCAAACTAACCTTAAAAATGTCGAACAAGAACTGTTTTGACTTTTTATATTAATTTTTGTGAGTTAAACAAATTATTAGTTAATAATTATTGTTTGCAAAGGTGACTGATATTAGCATAGTCATTGTATTTCCGTTCACAACAAGCCCAGTTTGTTAATAATATGTTTAAAAATCTAAAATTTAAGAGGTTACTAAAATATCTCTTTTTGTTGATTATTATAATTGTCCTTATAATATCCCTCTCTTCATACAGGAAACCCAAGGCATTTTCTTTTGATTCATTTAATAATATTACTGGAGTCCCGTATAAAATAATTCCGAACACTGTGCATTATGTTTTGTTTGGATCGACATCATTAAACTTCATATCATTCTTATCAATCATTTCTGTTATTAAGGTAAGTAGAAATAGAGTAAAAGTACACCTTTTAGTTAAACTATACATTTCGCTTAAGTTTAAAACATTATATCATCATCAGTGCCAACTACAGGTTTGTCTATTTTATTTGGTAATATGTTTACTAATAGGTAAAAATATTTTGTATCCTCCCTTTAGATAGATAGATTTCAGGTGTGTTCCTAGTAGGCTACTTATTTTACAATACTCAAACAACAGTGAAATCAGCTGATTAGCGAGCAGAAGTGGTCCATCCCCGCTCTAGAGCTGCAATGAGCTATTTTGCGTACTATTTTCTGGTATTGCAATGTGATAATTTCCATGCAGTGGTAGGAAAATAAATATAAATATGTCTAACATAACACTTTATACATTGTTTATATTTACATTGTTTTAAGAAAGAAGACTCTAAATATATACTGTACTATGAAAGGTGTTAGTGGTGATCGATTTCAATTGGACACTCCAATCATCGTCAGACCCAATAGACATAATGGTTCAGGTTGTTTTATCTCTTGTAAATTCGGGTCTTTTTGGCAAAATGTCATAAACATAATATTTAAAAAGAACAACAATTTAATTGGTCAATTGTTTTTAGGTGCAACAAAGCAATGTGTGGATTCACTGTGATTGTACAGAGTTGTCAGGTCACTACTGGAACTTAGTAGAGTCTCTATCAAACCTGCTACAAGTCCCCGTCAAAGTTAGCTTCATTCGCCGTCCCACTCATGTGTACGGTCAGCCGCTCAGCTCCGTCTACCACTCGTCAGACATTGCCAGGATCCAGGTGTTAATGGAGAACGGAGGAGTCTACTTAGACACTGACATGGTCTTGTTGAAGCCTCTCGACCAATATTTACACTATGAAATGGTAGTAGGATGGCCTTTGGATGAATACTTTGGAAACCAGGTGTGTAAATACACTACCACCTAGGCAGTTGTATATGTACTTATTTTGGAGGTATGTAGCCATTTGCATCATTAGACATGGCTGCAAGCCGCTTGTTGGTGTCGGAACAAGGACAGCAGTGTGCGGGCGTGTATATATGTGTGTGTAGGCCTACTCTTATTGGGAAGCACGTCAGTAATCTTTGGGGGCTTTGGGGGAAGGAGTGTGGAAGAGCAGAGCAGGTGTCTACCTGTTGTCCAGTTGCCAATTTATTAATGTCATATCAGCAACCAATGACTCAGTCCTTCAACTTTCAAACCATTCCAAAATTCTTTTTTCATCTCCAAATTTGTTTAGTCTCAAAAAATAGAATGATTCTTCTATACGCACAGGAGTAAATTTTTCCTTTGTGGGTGATAATTTTGCATTGTTGAATCTATAAAGATTGTTTTACAATATTACGATAAATTGTTATATAAACTAAATAATATTGGTAACATATGTGAACTTGATTTGATGAGCAAGACAAGTATAAATAGAGGCAAGGAGTGATTACCATTAGTATGGTAAAGATCTGATCAATCTGAACCAATTTACTCTTATACTTTTGACTGCTGATTGCCTATACCTATTTGGCTACACTGATGGACAATCGATGCTGATCATTAGCATAAACTAAAAAAATACCATAGTCTAACCAACACAAGCAAACTTCTCAACTCATTGTGAATTTTAAAGCTAGTTTTTTGTGTCTTTTTTATGTTGGTGTCACTGATCGCTAGTGTCGATGACATTTTCTAATATAGTAGGGTTAATTTAATTATTTTTTCTTTATACTGTTTGCTTATATAGGCTAACTAGGGGACGGGTTATTGTTTATGATTAGATAATTTTACTTGGTTAAATGAGGTTTTAGATAACAGAAATAACAAGAAACAAATTGTAAACAAAACACGACCCCTAGACCCCTACAGTGCTCCGTAGGCCTACGAAGCTAACAATAAAATTGTCTTCAGCTGATCGAAAGAAAAAAAATTATAAAAGTAAGCTCTAATCTGCTTTATCAAAGCAAAGAAACTTTCGATTATAATTATTTTTAATTTTTTCTGTTTGTTTTAAGACATATATCTGTACTGAGTAAAACTTTGATTGTTGTAAAAAGACCCTTTGCAATTTCAAAATATCTTGTTAGTCGATAAAAATGTAAACCCAACAAGTCAGAATGCTTTTTGATTTCAGATTATGATTGGTCACCCCAAAGCTAGGTTCCTAAAGAAATATCTGGAAAGTTACAAACGCTATTTGCCACGAGAATGGTACTATAATGGAGGCCAAATGCCAACGGAGCAGATACTCATGAAGGAACCACATTTGGTGCATAGAGTTCCAGTACTGTTTGGCGTTCACAACTTGATAGATAAGTTGTACGGAGCAAACCCTTGGAACGCTTGGAGACAATACTTTGCGATACATCTTCTAAGCAGACATCATGTTGACACAGAGAGGTTGAACGAAACCACAATTTTACAATACGACAAACCTTTTGGTGAAGTAGCACGATGGATTTTATATCAGTTAAAGCCAGTATTAAACACTTCTAAAGGAAGTTGGGATGAAGATTTAAGCTTATGAAGCGAAGGAAAAACATTAATTTAAACTCAGCAAGGAGCAAGTACTTTCTAGATGCAGAATTGCAGGTACAGAGAAGGAACCATCAGGACCCATCCCTTATGGTATGTTTTTTAGTCTGTCCACAGGTAAATAAATAGTACCGGGGGTTGAGTCTTGCTCGGTTGTGGTTGATTGGGTTTAATAGTTAAAATATTACCATGATCAGACACATAATATCATTTACAAAAATAATTTTATAAGAAACCAAAAACATCTAATTGCTGAGACATTCAACAATTGTGTAATGTCTGTCTAATTCCACCCGTTTCATAGATTATAGCATTTAGATTATTTGCAGTACCGTAAGAAATTGAATTGAGAAAATTGACATTTCATTTTAATTTAATATTAACCACTGACACCCCTGCCCAAGATGATCGGTCTGTTGTTCATCATTTAGCAAGGCCATAATATCTGAAATTATTTCTCTCCTTTTATTCTTCGATGCGCGACTTGGCTGAAGTTTTAAGACATTTGGTGGGATGTGTGAGCTAGTTGGAACTGGATCGGTTGTATAGAGGTAAAATTTGTTTCCTGTCGATCGATTGTAGCTTCTCTCCCTTTCAAATTACTTGTATTCGCTTCCGAGGTCTTCCACGTTCATTTAATACATTTTTGTACCCAGTTTTGTATACAGTTTCGACCCCCCTCCTCCAGGCCCATATTGATGGACACCCAAGGTATATGTGTTTGTTTATTTTATTTGTTTATTAGCCTATTATATAGGTAATACTACTGTACATTCTAAACTAAATCTATAATTAGTAAAAACTGTTATATCCTAAGCATTTATCGGTCTGAATAGTTATTTTATTTCTGTTGGCAGCGCTATGCAAAACGGATAGAAAAGTGTAATTTTTTTTCCGGTACTATACGGAGGCCACATATTTTACAGCCCGCTGCGGCGCTTATGTTAGGTTGGGTTATCATAAATATGTTTGTAGGAATTTCTTAGTTTTGTTATGAATCTAACGATGCCAGATGAGTCATACTTTCTATTTATGAAAGCCCAACCTAACATAATCACTGCAGCGATACAAGAGTGGCCTCGATATATTACCAAAGTACCGTAATTTTTCTCTATCATGATTGCTTGTAAATAATTTTAGTATTTTAGTATCTCTGCACAAATGTATATAGTTTTAGTATAATGTTATGACAACATTTTTGTGCTACATTGTGTATACTTTTACCACCAAGTGTGTACTTTTACTACCTGAAAAGTATTATTAAACCGGGTTTATATTTTTGTACATCTTTTATCCCGTTTATCTCTTTTCCTCCCGTCAATTGTACCTATTCGTTGTATAAAATGGTATAGCAAATATTGTATTTGTATAAAATACTTGCTTTTGTACTTTGTCCAATGAAAAACGTTGAGTTTTCCTTTTAAACCAGCTAAATGCAAGAGTCAGCACAATGACATTGAAATGAGTGACATAAATCCCCAGCTCTGAAGAACTAGAATTTGAGTGGGTCCTTATGAACAATAAAACATTATTAGAACAATGTAATAAAAGTTTTATTTTGTACAGTCATATTATACAATAACACAGACAGAATTCCTCATGACAACACAAAAAACTAAAAATACCATTCTCTAGGTCATAAATACATATGAAAATTGCTTAAAGCTTAACTGAATAAATCTTATGCGTAGCTCTAAAATAATTCAAAATATGAGTATATAATGTTAGTGAGAGGTAGAAAAAACAAATAAATCGGTCAGTCAATGGTCTCACAATATTTACAATACAAAATACTAAAGAGATCATGATAGAATAGTTGAAATGAAAATATAACTGGTTATCCTGGAACCAAAGAGGATTATTAGCTAATAGTTGAAACAAATTTCTTTACAAAATTAAACAGCCTTCTTATGTAACCAGTGCTGTAATTAGGGTACGTGCGGGCCTAGGCTAAATTACAGTAACCCGCCACTACATCACCCACTATTGCGGTGAAACGTGAACATCTCCCGCGATCACAGAAATATTATCATCGTCACCCGCTATTGCAGTGAAACTGTGAAAATCATTTGATCACAAAAAAGTAATCAACGCTACCTGTGATTGCGGGGAAATCAAGAACATCTCCCATAACCTCGGGGACATCATCAGATGTTATCCTCAACCAGAGAAAATCTGTTAATTTTAAATATAAAGTTCAATTTTTTATAGATAAAATATCTTTGTACAAATAGTTACAGCTCCCTTTTGCTTAGGACCCAAGTCCACAGCCTATTGGTACTGTGTGTAAACAAGACAATGAATGAAATAATGACAAAATAAATATATATAATGTGTATATACAATTTTTAGGATCACTGATACAGTGAACTATAAATAAAAACTAAATAGGAATAAAAATACCAACTACAGACTTTTTCATCTTATAGGACTACTCGAAGTAGTAAAAGTCAACTACTATGATGTTAATCCCTGTAATAAGTTAAATACCCTGGTTGCAGCAAACCTGCCTAGGTACTAAGCAAATTTCCATTTACCAGACTGGATTTTCACACAAACCATTTCCTTAAAAATGTCACATTTTCCTATTTAAATAACATAAAAATTGTAATTAGTAGGTTTGCTGCTACAGGGAAAGTAAAACAAGGTGTTTTTTTTAATGTTGGTGGCTTAGTATGAAATAAACAAATATATATGAATTTGACCAAACTGTGTTTTTAGCCTCTGGGGGTTTCAAAACGGAAAAATAAATCGGCCCCAGGCCAAGGTCTTACCATGAGACCTACGGTAAATGGATTATTTATTCCCTGTATGGGAAATTCACTTAATTAAACAAATTGTGTGTCCAATTAAAAAATTTACTAACATTATAGAGATGTTTGGTAAACAATATTGTACCGCCAAATACACAAAATTATACCCTAAATAAATCCTGGGATAGCTTCTGTCATAACTCAACAATATGATACTAGGTTACTCAGCAAGAAAAAAAAATTACTAAATTCTTATTCTTGTTTGTAAACCCAAATATTTATAATAAAAATAACCTCATGTCAAATGCTTGTATTATAAGGTATCATGAGTTTTAAACACAACAACGGGTAACTATCCGTACTTGAGGTCTTCATAATAATATCAAACCTAGCACATCACTGGTGGATTTTAGGTTGTATCGTATTAAATTTAAAAAAAAAAACCTTAGGCCTATCATCTTTTATGGAAGCGACCCTTAATTTTATTCCATGATCTTTGCATTGTGTCATCGTTTATTATTCTTGAGTGTGGATGTCAATAAGTGAAATACCGGTAGGCCAATTTATCCCTAGAGAGCTAACTACCTAGAGTGCTAGGTAATAGGACAATTAATAAAAAAATAATAAATATTTATCCTACTCTGTGAAATTTTTTTTTTTCCTATTACCTATCAAAAATCTTTACACTTAACTTAATTAAGCCGATTGAATTCCATTTACAACCATGACATGAATAAATATGTATACAATCCTGTTTCATAAATTCATCAATTTGCCTACAATATAAAAATACAATTTTAAGAATAAATAACTAATTGTAAACTTTATGCATAATTAAACTGTTAACATACCTAGACTATTCAGTTTTCAACGTCTGATGTTTCACTGGTACAATCTAACAAAAGTTCTGGTGAGTTCCGCTTTTGTACATTTGTTTCTTCCTGCTCTTCATTACTATCCTCTTCAATACCGTTCGTTTGAACATTACAAACCTCTTGATCTTGTGCGGACTTCTTTTTAATATCATTTATCCTGTGCTGAGACAAAACCTGTTGAATCTTAGCTTGAACCGCTAATGCTGTGCACAACGACATCTTCTTCAGTTGTAACGCCACACTTTTACCGAACAGTTCAAACTCATCCTCAGACGTTGTGAGAAGTTCAGTAATATCCTTGAGATATTTCATCGCATCATTCATTTGTGCAGTGATGTCAACCTCCTTGTCCTGCTTGCGTTTTTTAGTGGGTGGTTCAGACAATACGCTGTTTGCTGCTTCCTCCGCCATTGATATGACAGAGTTCTGCTGCACGAAAAGTGGCATCTCTCCGTCCGGTGGCTCAGGATACGAATGGTTTGTTTCGTCCAATGACGGACACTGTTGGTAGTAAAACTCACTCTGCGTAGTTTGTGCTGGCAGGTTGTGAAATTTTGTCTGAAACACAAAAGAGTCCAATAGAGGTGATGCTCTGATTATAATATTATTTGTTATCATGGCTGAAAAAATAAAAAATAATTTTGATAAAATTATAATTTTGATAATTTTGATAAAAATAAAAAATAAAATAAATAAGTAACACAGGATAAGATTTAACACACTACATAAGAGCAGGAACACAATGGTGTGGTATTACGGCACCTCTCATTATTCCAAAGGAACTTTGTAGGGGTTTAAAACTATGTCAATACAAATTTCAAACAAAATATTAATGGTTTGTATTGGGTTAGGCCTAATACTTTTATTTGTACTAGAAAAGTTTTGTCTTTAAGCTATTTTTTAATTCCAGTACAGGTAGTCGTTGCTATTCCCAATAGATGCGTTTAAAGAACTGCCCTCCAAGCCAAAATGCAGAATCAAAAACCTATTCATAGACTGTTGCTGTTTGTAACATTTTATTTTACAGGAACTCTGCATCCCAAAATAATCTTCACCTCATAATATGTAGCCAGAAGTGACCACTGGTGCAAAGGATTGCTAAATTTCACACAGCTACGTGTAGCCTATGTAATTTGAACAGATGGTATTTTTGGCCTCTGTGGACATTGAGGTCTAACAATGAGACCTACGGTAATAGTTATTCCCTATAAAGGAAATTTGGTTAAAGAAAGAGGGAACACAGATATGGAGTAAATTCCCTGAGATATTAATTTTATCACACCTTATCATCATTGTTTAGGTATGATATATTTTTAAATAGTTAATTGTATACTTAGGACTTAGGGCCTATAGTATTTTTAGATAATAACATTGAAGACAACATTCTGAAAAAATACACAAGGTTTCAAATTTATATTGCACTAAGAGAAGATAGTTAACCGTTAAGGATTACATTTAATATACGGTAGGTGCTACACACACTTATTTCGACAATGAAAATATCTGTATTTTAACTGCATATTTTATCGCTGCCAAACCAAAACTAAACAAGATATACGTAAAAACAGTACAGGAACTGGGTGTGTGAAGAAGCGCCTTGTCGCCTAGTGTGGCCACTGGCCATAAGCTCTAGACAAGATAACATGGAGAGCGTATTTATCGACTGGGAAGGTGGCATCGTCCTGTAATCCAGCTACTAGGTCACAAATTGTGGATATTTATAGGCATGCACTGTGGATGCAATACTTCCTGGTGTGGATTAATGTCCGCACTAGTGAGTACTATGACTACCCGCACTGCTATCCTGATAATTAGACCAATTCGTTAATTACAAGGCAAAAATGTGGTTCGGATTCCACTATAAACTGTAGGTCCCTTAGTTGCCATTGGCTGTATGGGACTAATAGTTAACTAATATTAATTAACATTTGTGGTGTCTAAGAATGTTTAAAAATTAGACCCATTTTTATCCCTGGTTTAGGTAGGCCTAACACAATTAGAACACATCTTTCAGATGGAATCCACCAGGTTTAGCATTATGAAGATCTCAAATTTGATTTTGATGGAACAACATTAACACAGAAACAAAACTGTTGATCTGATAGAACTGTATTTCTGACGAACAATAAATAGGAACCAACTTAAAATGTTGCGAGCAACAAGTTAATGCATGGAATGGCATAAACCAAGGATAAGAATATTTTAGAATATTAATGCGAGTAGTGGACAAATGTTTTCTTACTTTCTCAGAAGCGGATGGGTTTGGTTTAGAGGACGATTTTTCAGTTGGAGTCTTGGTCTTGGAATTTTCTTCAACTGTAATATTACTGGTACTTGTAACCGCAGATGCAGATTGACTTTCTTCAGTGGGTTCTACATTACTACTATTTACTAGTTCTAACTCTCGTGGAGTGTTTTTGGAAGCATCAGTGTCGACAGTCTCATTAGCTTCAGTGTTGGCAGATACGGAATTCACAATAACGTTAGGCCCACTATTTTGTTCATTTTGTCTATCATCATCGCTCAACTCTTGAACCTCTTCTTGTCCATTTACTATCAGGCCCACAGGTTCAATATCATCTTCAAAATTGAGTTCATCATACAAATTATCATCTTCGTCATCATCATCATCAATCTCAATCAGCTCAGGTGTAGAATTTTTCCAATTGATCGGGAAAGCGTGTTTTTTCAAACTGTTTTTAAACTTATTTGCAAACATACTAGGGGTAAAATGCAGCTCACAAATCTTTTTTTTGCTTAACTCATGTGGGGTGAGAAAACGGAACTCTTCTCTGCCACTGTTTGTGATCCATTTTGAACATCTGAAGTAAAACAGAACAAATCTAAAAATCCTAAATAACTGGTTTAGTTTGTATAGCACTAAATTTATTAAATTTTAACAAACTATATCTAGGCTATTAATAACCTTTTTAATTTTTCTAAAAGGACTAAGTTAAGTAGACTGATTATGAGACGACTGTGCTGGGAATGTCCTATAAGTGTCATATTTTATACTTACAAATCAGAGTTTTAAGGTACGGTACCTACGTAGAAAGATCCAAGTGTTTAGATAAGGGACATAGAGAAGGGCTGATGCTCAAACCAGTCATAGATGGGAAAGGGGCAAATTAAACTGACTTCATTAACTTATTTGTTAGGTTTTTGACTTGATTTGTTACACAAAATCACTGGCAGTGATAAGAAGCCGTGGGCTCCTCCTCTCCCAATAATCTTTTAAAAACATTATCACAGGCATTTCCATCTTAGCTTGAACTAGGGCTTGACACGGCATCTCCCAAGGCACAGAGGCATAATCATCGCCTTCCTTTCCATGATCGTGTTTCAAAATCCTAAATATCATCATAGGTCACGGGCTAATCGTCTTCCGTGACCGTGAAAAAGTTCTGAATAGACTTCGTGAAATCATCGTCTTCCATGATCGCGTCAAAATCCTAAATATCATCATAGGTCACAAAAATATTAGGAGGCTAATCGTCTTACGTGGCCATGAAAAAGTTTTGAATACTTCCCGCAGTCACGGAAACATTATCATTGTGTACCGTGATTGCAAATAATAAAGCCAGGACATCTTTTGCGGTCGGATAGACAACATCGTCTACCACGATCGCAGCTAAATTCGTAATATCTCAGCGTTGATTAGTTTAATCTAACACTTAAGTTAATTGCCAAACATCCAACACCAAGCCAATGTGGCCTAGTTGAAACAAAGGTGTACTGATTGAAACTCACGAGGATAGGTTATCTTAAGCTCTGTGCGAGTAGGAAGTTTTGCACAGTGCTCGTGCTCTTCTTGCTCGTCACAAGTATTTAGTTCAAAATTAGGATTCTAAGGCACCTAAACCTATCTTTCACACTTCATAAACTATGATATAAGCAAACTATCAACGTTTTAAAGTATAAATAAATAAAAAGTTTAGGCCTACTGCAAGTATACCTAATGTTAAATTTTAAGGCTTCACCTTTCTGTATCCTTGGGGAAACCAAAAAATGATATTGCACCTCCATCAGTTGATCTATCTGAAGAACACCCATTATAACTGCAATATCTTTTATACCATTGTGACATTGCAGTACTAATTGGGACCCTATTTCTTTAAATTTATAATCTATTATTATTATTAACTAACAAAAATAATAACCCCGTCCAAACTGAGCAGCAATCTGCATTAAATTAAATGTTCAATAATTCATGGTTTAAATTATTGTATTCCTTTGAAATTCCAAGGTCAACGTTCACAACAAAACAACACAAAGTGTAAAAAAAAGTACAAAGACAACAGCAACAGCACGGCCCAGCAAACAGCACCAGAAGCAGACAGCTGACAGACAGACAGACCAGACACACACGACGACACAACACACCGGCTTCGGCGGTGGGGCACACGGGAGGGACTAAGGCTAACATATCTTGTAGTGTCAGCGTTCGCCGCTAGAACTGCTAAGTTGAAATAATTTAAATTAATTTTTTTTTTAGTTATAAAATTAACTTTTTAATTATAAAATATTGTTTTAAAATTATAAAATAATTTTTTAATTTTTAAAATTAAACTGTCATAACATAACCTAACCAACCAGACTTGCTGATAATATAAAAGCTATATAAGATAAAAATCTAATTAATAATTACTTATAATTTTTAATTAATTATAAAATTAATTTTAAAATGTAGTATTATAAAATTAAACTGTCATAACCTAACCTAACCAACCAAACTTGCTGATATGAAAAATTTGTTGACAAAAAGTCAATGCTACCAGCAGGAATCGAACCCGGGACCTACTGAACACCAATCCGAAACGCTACCAACTATGCCACAAACGCCGCTGAAATCACATCGTTTCGTAACGGTAATCGTGTCGCCTCAAGAGAAGACATTACCCACTAGAGATATGACGTCACTACACCTTTAGCCTTAGTCCCTTCCGTGTGCCCATTCCCCGGCTTCGGGGCTTCGGCATTCGGCTTCGGCTGGTTGCAGGTTAGGCACCCTTCAAAAGTGTAATAGCTAATAGTCACGTTTACCAACGGTCAAACTGCAAAGGATTTGCAATTAGTTGCCTTTGATCACGGATTGGTTATAACGCTCGCATTTTGCCTTCAAATCCAAGGGATGGTGGTTCGATCATTAGAAGGATCAATTTTAGTCCTAGTTACAATTTTGTCAAATATTACCATTACCGGTACATGATTTATATAATTCACTTCTCAACATATATAAACATACTAGGTGAAACCCGTCGAAATCGACGGTTACTTTCAAGGCTTACGTTAATTCATGTAACTGCGATAAATTGGGTAAAATATACATATTTTGAGCATTTAGCATTGTTTAAAGAGTAATAAGTGTAAAAACAATAATGGTATTAATTGCGTTTGTTGCCAAATTTGGCTGATCATTCAATGAATAAAATATTCACCATACCGTACGTCATCTCATCGGAGTTATTATTAGTATGTTATACTGTATCTCTTCCTTTGTAAGAACCTTTAAATAGTATTAAAATCGTGTTGGTGGCTCTTTTGTGGTTAAACATTTCCGTGATTTCATCAGTGTAATATGATTTTATTTCAAAAGAAAACATTTTTTGGGAAGACATATTCTAACTTCAAAGGGAGGTATATCCGTTACAGTGTAAGTTTGATTTTCTTTCGTCATGTCGCGTCAGTTCATATCTACTTCTGTGCTAATGAATGAACCCTCTAGCATAGTTTTGAGAAATTTTTGATTGTGGGGTCACTGTTAAAGCTGTAATTCCTTGACATGGGGGATGTCAGTTAGTTGTCTCTTTTATATACTAAATTATTTGTTTTTTTAAGCTCTTTAAAAAGGTCTAAAGAGAAATCGGGAAATTTTGTGTTTTGAGGGTCAAAAGTGAGAAAAACCAATTTTTACCCCATAAAACCCCCCGTAAAGCCCCGTTCCCATGGTCCGATCGTGCTGGTTCGCGAACTCATTCAAGTTTATCCCGCTTTACACCTTTAAACCAAATTTCATCAAAATCGGACAAAAATTACTCAAGTTATCGCGTTCACGGACGTATATGTATATATATATATATCCTACTAATATTATAAATGAGAAAGTTTGGATGTATGGATGTATGGATGTATGGATGTATGTTTGTGACAAGTGAACGCGAAAAATACTGGTCGGATTGGACTGAAATTTGGCATGATGATAGCTCACATTCCCGATTAACATATAGGCATATTCTTATTTCAAAAATCCTTTCGGGCTCCGCCTCAGTGGCTCTGGAGTTTCCCATGTTAACCTTATGAGAAATGGAATTATTGAATCTTAACAGCTGTTTCAATTCACAAAGTTGGTTCTGTTCTATGATGTTCAATAGCATTAAAGTTATAAGGATTACCAACAGGGTGCAGCACTATTATTTCTTTTACATTTATGACAACAGCTAATTTGCAACCAAAAGGTGAGTGAGCGTAGCAAACGAGCTCCAACCTAAAGGTGAGTGAGCGTAGGGAACAAACTTCAACCAGGACGTGATTGAGCCATGCGAACGAGATAATCTTGAAAATTAAGAAGTTAAACGGGGCAAAGCCCGCGGGTTACAGCTAGTAAGTCTATATATCCTACTAATATTATAAATGAGAAAGTTTGGATGGATGTAGGGATGTATGTTTGTGACAAGTGAACGCGAAAAATACTGGTCGGATTGGGCTGAAATTTGGCATGATGATAGCTCACATTCCCGATTAACATATAGGCATATTCTTATTTCAAAAATCCTTTCGGGCTCCGCCCCAGTGGCTCTGGAGTTTCCCATGTTAACCTTATGAGAAATGGAATTATTGAATCTTAACAGCTGTTTCAATTAAACAAGTTGGTTCTGTTCTATGATGTTCAATAGCATTAAAGTTACAAGGATTACCAACAGGGTGCAGCACTATTATTTCTTTTACATTTATGACAACAGCTAATTTGCAACCAAAAGGTGAGTGAGCGTAGCGAACGAACTTCAACATGGAGGCGAGTTAGCGTAGCGAACGAGCTAACCTGAAGGCAAGTGAGCGCAGCGAACGAGCTCCAACCTAAAGGGGAGTGAGCGTAGCGAACGAGCTCCAACCTAAAGGTGAGTGAGCGTAGTGAACAAACTTCAACCAGGACGTGATTGAGCCATGCGAACGAGATAATCTTGAAAATTAAGAAGTTAAGCGGGTTACAGCTAGTATATACATATATAAAAATTTGAACGAATGGTGTTTTTGGCCTCTGGGGACAGCAAAATGAAAAAGTAAATCGGTCCCGGGTCTAGGTCTTACCGTGCCACCTACGGTAATAGCTACTTCCCTATAGGGAAATTCGCTAAAACACAAATCGAGGATTGAGGCGACATGAATTAGAGATATTTAAGCGTCACACTCGCCACGCATAAAAACGGACGAAGCTAAGCAACATTCGATTTTCTTTTAGACAAATATGAAAAGTGCCATAAAATACATACATAAGTATTCAGTTTAAATAGTGCATAGGTTTGGTGGTTTGATTTAGAGAAAAATATTTTTCTGCACCTAGACACTCGTTGTTATTTGGCTGTAACAGGTCGAAGAGATATAACTGGAGTGATCCTTTACGATGAAATATCTTATACTTTAACATTCGTTATTGTAAGAAACTTCGGATGTACTTCGTTAAAATACAACACGAGATAAACGTGTTTTTTTCCAACGTAATATTTTCGTACGGAATAAGTTGTACAGTTACAGTATGTATACAATTTTGTGAGATTTTCAATTGTCATTCAAATATTTGTTCGGAGTGCAACAAATTTTCTGCTTTTGCAATCAGTTGTAATATTTGCAAAATCCCGTTTTCTGTGGACTAGATAAAATAATTTCCCGAAAATTCCAAATGAAGAATATTATTTGCATGCACTTATCAGCAAAGTTATTGCTTTTTGCATGTCATGTGGATAGCATTTCTTCATTTACGGCTAGACCGTCACCATGTTGTAGAAAAGTATATTAAGTATTAAAGTATTAAGATTATGATGGTTCTGCTCGCGTGTGATACTTCTCCACGGACGTCGCAGTAGCGCCCAAGTCTGGCCGAAATGGTCAATAAGTTCTTAGGACCCTCCCCCCACCCAGCCTGGACAAAGTCCTTGTCCGTACTCTAGAAACCATCTATCTTGCTCGTATTATTGTTACTATCAGCTATTATCTACGATTAAAATACTTCCGCATCGTCGACATTGAATAAATTACATATTTATAGCGGCTAAACATGTGATTGATTGACTGGTAAATATTTCAATTACTTCGAAAACAGAGGGTAATTAACAATATAGTAGACTCTAAATCTGGGTGTTATAGTTACACTGACTATCCCGTGTGTACCCCTTCCATTAATATGAAATAAAAAAAGACAATTAATTACTAAATTTTTTACACATACTGGCACTGTACTAAAATACAGATTCTGCCAAAAATGTCTTTAAATAGTTGTACTCTAGTTTTCGAAGGTTTTAAAGGTTTTTCTTATTTTACATTATGAATAATATTACAAACAATTTATTTTCAAACGGATGATTGAAAAGTATTAAAAAAATCATAAAAGTATAAATGTGTCAAGTAAAAAAAATAATTTTAGAAACTAACAAATTTCGTTAATTTAAATGAAAATAAATCACGGAATAAATTATATTAATAATGTAATTGGTTTTATGCTTAAAAAATGTTTTATTGTCTCAGTAAGTGTCGTCCTTTACGGTTAGAAAAGAGCCAATTTTGTTTTTTGTACATTTAGAGAGTATAAAATATATTAGAAAATAGCTGGGATCCTGACAAAATCATAATGCAAATTCCAACTTAACAAAGATTTAATAGGTAGATGTATTTGATTTTTATTTAAATTATTACCGGAGAATAACGACCATGACGTGATAGTAAGTGAAAGATAACTTTGGCACACTTAAACAAACAAACGTACTGTTAACGATATGCCAGGTGAACAAAGATAGTGTTCGCAGCGTTAAAAAGTGAAACAAAACAACTGAGTCTGCCAATCATTGCGCGACGAGTGTGGGGGGGGGGGGGGGTTATGATTATTGTAAACGGCGGCAAATTCAAATAAGCTCACCAAGTATTTGGGCACCTTCTTGTCGCAAAGCTCGGCCCTCGGAGTGGTGTTGGCGTGTAGGAAGCTGTCCAACTCCTTGAACCAGAAGACGCTCGGTGTGTAAGGCTCTCGACCCAGCATCCT